TTTAAATACATTTCACAACACGCAGCTTCTAGACAAACTAGAATGAATTTTCCTAGTTAGACATCTGCTATATGTTCCTTAAAAACCTATATATAGTCCTCAGCAAATATAGTCCTCAGCAGGGAGGAGAAGAAAAGTACCTACTTGGTATTTTCAAAGTATGAGGAACTCTAGGTAGCAATAAGTTGCCAAAAAAAAAAAAAAAGTATGGTGGTAATATCCTTCATATCCTAATCAACATTAATCTTGGAATTTTCAGCACCAAAGATTGGTAGACAACTTCACATCTAGATCAGAGTAGTACAGGATTCGTTTCTGAAATTTAAGTGTACCTATAGTGATGACAAAGTCTTTTAATACTTTTGTTAATTCAGCCATTAGTTTTTGTTTCTTTTTGCCTAATTTATGCCAGTTCAAATGTAACATTTTCTATTTCCAGTCACTCCTACCACCCACTCCCACACTCAGAAACACTTCTTGCCTTTTTATCATGTACCTAGTCACTGGGCCTGATTCTTCAAATGTACTGCTTATTACACTTGCTTCAATAGTGAAGTGACAGTTTGAGAATAGAAACTACTGTTGCAGGACACAAGTTCTTTTTTTTCCAGAATAGAAACATCCGCAGTGTTTAAAACAGAGCACCGCAGTAATACCATTGCTGGATGTAAGGGCATTGCCAGAGATTGCTTCCCTAGGACCTGCACGTGGCATATGCACTTCTGCTGTGCTGCATAGACTTGTATTTTCACTAGCCCTTTGAGACTGGGTACAAAACAGGGACACAAAACCTTGTGTGCCTAACTGTTCACCTTGTCTTTCCTGTCGCTTAGTGGGCTCACTTAATATGGTAATCCCATTACCCATGCGAAAAGGCTCACCAGATTGTGTATAATGGGTGAGTTTTGTCTGTCTTCTTCATGTTACCTTACTGCCTGGGCATAATTTATTCATTCTAGCCTTAAAATAGGGACTTTTTGATTAGAAAATAAGCAAACAACCAAACCCCAAGTGGGAACTCATTTGAAGACAGAGTTCTGCAGTTCAGCTGAGCTAAATTACTTTTATTGTGATGAAGTTTTGGAGTAAAACTGCTACTGTCCTTCTTGTTTGTTTAGTAGGAATAGTATGAAGAGAAATTATGATATATGAGTGTTACCTTCATGTAATAGTTTTTTTATTTCCCTGTTAAATATTTATTTTCCAGTCTGTTAGTCCACTGCTTATCACTTTCAAGCTGAGCATTCTGCAAGTTCACAATTATGCTATCAGTTCCTCTGTTATATCAGGATCTTCGTCAGTGGTTAAAACATATCTGTAATGTTTCTAAAGGAGGCACTGTAGTCCCATTTGCTCAGGGTTAGGTACTGGAAAGACAGCTGGGCTCCCATTGAATATTTTTCCTACACAGATTTTTATTTAAGTGTTTATTTCCAAATCTCTCTAGTCTTCCAGTGATTATAATAATCATGTCATAAATCTTTGCAAAGTACTTTGAGGCAAAGGGTGGGTAGGTTCCTCAAGATGCTGTCTTACTTATTTTTTTCTTCTCATTCCTCTTATTTATTCACTTTCTGACATCACTGTCTCTGGGAATCTGCTTATAGTGCCAAGTTTGTTTAGTAAGAATGGCCAGGGGAAAAAAAGTGTGTTTAAAGTAACCTGAAATGCCAGAAGGCGGCCTTTGTAATAAATGATGCTCTTCCATGAAAAGACCATAATCACAGATTTTAAGAGTAGATGCCAGATCTTATATTACATCATTCTTATCTGCTGGGGTGGAGTTGATTTTCTTCTTAGTAGCCTGTATGGGACTGTGTTTTCAACTTGTGCTGCAAACAGTCATGATAATACAGGGATGTTTTTGTCATCACTGAGCAGCACTTGCATGAAGTTAAGGTCTTTTCTGCTCCTCACACCAGAGAGCAGGATTGGGGGCACAAGAAGTTAATGAAGGGGGACAGATGGGACAACTGACCCAAACTGAACACAGGGATATTCTATACCACATGACATAATGCTCAGCACATAAAGTTGGGAAAGAAGAAAGAAGAAAGAAGAAAGAAGAAAGAAGAAAGAAGAAAGACATTCAGAGCAACACTTTTCTTCCCAAGTTAGGTGTGATGGAGCCTTGCTTTCCTAGGGATGACTGAAAACCTGCCCGCCCCTTGGAATTGGTGGATACATCCCTTGTTTTGCTTTGCTTTCATGTGCAGCTTTGTCTTTACCTATTAAACTGTCCGCATGTCACCCTGTGAGTTTCCTCACTTTTCCCATTCTCTCCCTGTCATAGTTCTGATTTTAGACAGGAATTTTGTCTTTCCTTTCCCCTTCCCCCCCCCTCCCTGCGTGTGTGCTGTTAATGAGCTATCAGATAGACAAAGGAGTTGGCCTGAGCCCTAAATGGCCGAGAGATTAATCTCCTAGCAACGAAGGGGAAGGAGGTGGGGTTTGGGGGGCTGGAGCTCAGCTCGGGAGCGGGAGGAGGAGGAGGCTGCAGCACGGAGGAGAGACGGGCTGGTTTCTTCTTTGTCTTTTCCTGTCGGAGAAGAGTTTTTACTGCTGTTTCTCTGCGCAGCTGTTTGCTAATTGCAAGCTTGGCACACCGCGAAATCTTCACCAACTGAAAATCTGACCCGACGACGCCCCCTGCTGACTGTGGCTGGAACTGCACCAAAGGGTGCTAAAAATTGAACTATTTGATTTTCTTTTTGCCGGTTTTGTTGGTTTTGTTCTTGAAGGAGATTATTGGTGGGTATAGGGGTATTGCTTTGTTGTTTTACTTGGTTTTTTTTCGTGTTCCTGTTAATGTGCACACACCTTTTAATAAAGGGCTGTTATTTTTTCCCTTTTCCATAATTTGTTTTCCTTCAATCGGAGCCTCTTAATTTCGGATTTATAATTGCTAGAAAAGGAAGTTTGGGTCTTTTTCTCCTAATCCATCCTCAGCAAAAGACCTTTGTCTCATTTAAACTGGGACACTCCCCCATCCCACCAAGGGGGAGTGAGTGAGTGGCTGCGTGGGGCTGAGCTGCCAGATGGGAACAAAGCACAACACTACTGCATTATTGTTCCATGAATTCCCTAAGCAGTGAAATTACTGGCAGGTGTGTAACAGTTATTAATATAATAAATAAATGAGTCCCATAGGGACTACGGTGAACACCAGTATGGTGAGTAACGAATGTGTCTTTATTCAAATAGTCACAGCTTAAATAGTAGTTTCAAATACTGCTACATCACACAGGTAACTTCCTAAGCCAATCCCATACAAGCATTCCAGAAAGCATGTGCGACAGAGTCTTAGAACTCCAATTCCCAGAATCCCTCTGCAGCACCTGGTATAGCCACACCCCACATCTCCCCCATTTTTAATAACAACAAGATACAGAACAGTGCAAATTCAAAAAACAACAGTGCAATTGTTAACAAAACATTCTTCACTTGACTTATTTCTTATTTAAACCTTATATCTAAGAGTTCTACACAATAACAAAACTTTATTAATGAAAATTTACCTAAGAGTTTCATATGACTGAGTAGCACAAAAACCTTTGTTACCTGAGGGTCTAGATATGATTGGGGAAAACTTACTTTTTTATTGGAGAAAGGGTTTAGTGGAGGAATATCTTGTTTTGAGTTGTCTCTTATTAACGTGATGTGGTTAGAGGTAGTGTTTGTTTCAGATCTATTGCATAAGGTGCATATGGTTGTCGTATATTCATACATTCACACAATCTCTCTCCCATTCATTTGGTGGCCACCGCATTCTCTCTTCATTCATGCATATTTGCAACTTAACAATTCTTAAATGAAACCTGTTTGATTCAGCACTTACTTAATCACATGCAAATTGTTACCCTGTATACCCCCTTTTTTGTAGTTAACATTGAAAATTAATTAATTTGAAGGTATAATACTGGTAAGTAGCATGCACATTCCTGAGTGGAGTTAGAAAAATGAATAGGTAAGTTACTATTACAATCTGTTACTTAATAACAATAGAAATCTTGAAGATGCTAATTACATTACTTAAACAAAATAGTTATAACATTTAAACTTATCTAGATGCATTTAAGAACTTAAATATCTTAAACAATACTTAGTAAACCTTATTATTAGTAATTTAAACAATGCTACAGGGAAATTAGAAACTTAAAAGTGTATCAATAAGGCAATGTTGAATTCTTCTCCCTTACTAATATAAACACAAAAACTAAAGATAGTTAACTAAAAGATTTACGTGTAAAACATGTAAAAACAGTTAGTACATTTAGTGTTTGCATAGCTTCCGCCCCGGCCTGGGCCGCTGCCCCCCGCCTCACGGGGGTGGTGGTGTCGCTGTTTATGTTCCCGAGGGAGCCGGAGGCGCTGCGGCCACAGCGTGGTCTGCTCACGGGGGAGGCCATGCCGCTGGTCGCTGCCACCGGGCCTTGGTTCGGCTTAGCGGTTTCTGTGTTCATTAGGGCCCGGCCCCCGCGCCCCCGGGGCGGGTGAGCGGCGTCGCCGCTCTGTGCCGTGTGTGCGGTTGTCCCGGGCTGCGCTGCTGCTGGCCTGGCTGTCCCTGGCGGGGCACGGAGAGCAGCCGCCCCTTGGAACCCCACCGGCCGTCAGGGCCGCCACTGGAGCCTCCCGCTTGTAGACGGGGAACACCAAGGCCGGGCCCACATATTTGGGCACGGCACCACCCTGCTCCGTGTGGTCGCTGCTGGTGGCAGGGCTGCTTGCGGGCCCTGGGGCGGTAGCGAATGGTGCCTGCTTCTGCAGTTTCTCGATGACCACCTGCTCCAGCTTCTTGTGGGACGAGAAGTCGAGTTACTGAGTATGTTGTCTCTGGGGTTGTTGCTGTCGCTCCCTGCAGCCATTGGTGAGGGGGGGGCTGAGGCTGCATTGTTTCCAGGTGCAGGTTTCCTTTGTTGTCCATTGTCTACCTGCAGTTCCGCAGGGCCGCATGCTGTCTCGTCCTTGGCTTGTCTCGCCGCAGCCGCAGAGCACCTCATCTACCCCGCGCTCCGTGCCCTCAGGTCTCCCTCCCAGTCGACCTGGAGCCAGCCGCGGTGCACTGCCGTGGAGGAAATGTGCCTGGCCACGGTCGGCCACCAGCCAGGCAGCGGTCCCCACGCCAGCCCACCCCCACGGAGACTGGAGTTCAGGGGTTGGCGGGGCGGGCGGCAAGCACGTGGCCGGGGCACAGGTACAATGCACGCCCAGCGCACGAGTCCAGTCGTGCCAGGGTGTCCCCGGGCTGCAGATGGTGCTCCTGAGGGGCCCCCCTGGCCCCGCCGCTCCCCACCATGGCCCAGGGGGGGTGTCCCAGCCCGGTCCCCATGGCTGTCAAGCACCCCGAGACGCCCCGTCATGGCGTCTGGTATTGTGGGCGTGTAGTTTTTCAGTTGTATCAGAAAGTTCACGAGCGGCGTGGTGGATACTGCGGGCTTCAAGTTGCCGCTGGCCACGGGCGGGACGTACATGCTGTTGTACACGGCCCTGTCTGGGGGAGCGGCCACAGCCGCGGACACTGGCACGGATTTCCTTCTGCCGGCCGCGCCGCCCTTGGCGCCCTGCACTGCCCCAGCCTCCCCGCCCCGCGCTGCTTCGGGCGCAGTGCGGCCCTTAGCGGCCGGGCTGGGCTTGTTGCTCTCGGTGGGCGCGGGCGGGGCCATCGCAGCGGGCACGAGGTCCACATCAGCGCTGCCGCTCATGATCCTGGTTCCATTCTCGGAGCCGCCCGCTTCTTCGCTCTCAGTTTCGAGTGGCTTCATCCCACTCTATCTTTTTTAAACATCATGCCTCTGTTGCTGGTAGGCACAGCAGTTGCTGCCCGGCTACCGGCTCTCGGCGTGGACCACGCTCTGTCCATGCCTCCAGCAGAGGCAGTCTACAAAATGGTCATGAGACAGGAAGAGACGGCACCACCTCCTGCTCCCGGCGTGGGCAACATGGCGCCGCCCATGCTCCCACGTGGTCGCCACACGTTTGCAAGTTTGCAATGGCCCGGGAATTTAAAGTCTGTTTCTCCTTGCCAGCCACCCATCTTGCGACACGCACCTTTCTCCCAAGACCCATGCATCCGCGAAAATTTAGCATAAAAAGGTACATTTCAAGGTCCCTTCTCCGTGTTCCCGGCACTCCCCTCCCCTTCCCTTCCACATGGTAACACTATGTGGAGGTCTCTGCCTGGGCATGTCTGTGGGGAGGGGAGACTCAGGGTTTCCCTTTGTGGACGAGTTTTTCTGCGTGGGTTTTAAAATGTCCACTTTCTTTACTTCTGCTTTCTTTTTGTTTCTCCACCCCTCTTTCCAAGCAGTTTCACTAAGAACTGTAAATATTAGCAGTCCTAAAACAGTTATCTTCATTAATTTTAAAGGTCCACTTATTTTATGTCTGTTAACTTGTCTCCAAAGTCTTTTCAATATTAAGCTTAAGGCTTTTGCAATATTCTGTGGTTCACGTGAATGAAAAGTTTCCATTTTTTCACTCTTTTTTTCTTTTTCTATTTTTTTTCTTTTTTCCCGTCCTCTCACCTGGGACAATGTTTTTCTTTTCCTTTTTTGTTTCTTCTTTCTTCTCTGTTCCCGAGAGATGTTCTCTCCAAACGGAGGTGATTTCCTACTGAGATTTTCAGGCCTTTACTTCGAGCTCAATCGCGGTTCCTCCGCAGACGCCCATCAGAGTTTCCTTTCCTCTGGTACCTGGCATTTATGACTTTTTCACTGTGGGCGTCCTTCAACTTATATTAAAGTTGGTACCTGACACCTGTCCGTAATTTTTCCTGGTTCAGGATAATTTTGGGTCCCTGTTACGGGCGCCAAATGTAACAGTTATTAATATAATAAATAAATGAGTCCCATAGGGACTACGGTGAACACCAGTATGGTGAGTAACGAATGTGTCTTTATTCAAATAGTCACAGCTTAAATAGTAGTTTCAAATACTGCTATGTCCCACAGGTAACTTCCTAAGTCAATCCCATACAAGCATTCCAGAGAGCATGTGCGACAGAGTCTTAGAACTCCAATTCCCAGAATCCCTCTGCAGCACCTGGTATAGCCACACCCCACACAGGTGTACATACTGGTAAGTATAAGTAGTGTCACTAGGCCATATCCATGGCCCATGAAGACCTCCATGCTAAGACACAGAGAAACAAGGAATGGCAATTCCTGAGAGCTCACTTTTCAAAATATACCCACATTTCTCCTAGGCAACGTCATACCTATCATGCTACACTGCTCAGTGAGATAAATATATTGAATATACTGGATATTGTTTGGAAGCCATTAGTATGCAGAAAGATTATAGGAATAATCAAATTTGCTTCCTAACTGAATTACATTGTATTAAGAAAAACACAATCATTTCTGTTTCAACCACAAATGTATTAGCGCTAATGAAAACTCCAGGGCAGCTTTTAGCAATTTCATTACAGACTACCTTGGAACATGATAGTTCAATTAATCTCTGCAGTGCCACATTGCATTCTTAACTTTTCTTTCTGACAAGTTTCACTGAAATAATTGTGTTTGATATGCAAGTTTTAGGTAGTTTAAACAGGAATGGAATATGATAGGAGCTCAAATGGCTAAAAGCAAATGGGCCTGATTTAAAATATCTCCCTTCAAGTCCTCTTATAATGCATTCCTGCCAAAAATTCCTGTTGCAAAGAGAAGTATACTTTGAAGATCATGAAAGTCTCTAAGTGTGCTGACCTTATACCCTTCATTACAATGGTCCACTCAATATTCAGTATCAGCCAATCTTGCATAAGAAAAAGAACTTTATTATAGACAGCACATCTGCAGCTTTTGAGGATGGATTGCACAGAAGAAGAAAATACCTTCAAAGTGACAATGCAATTTTGAGTCATGTTTCTGACAAAGAAACATGGGGTTCATCACATCCTGTATGTCCATGGCCCATCAAATGTTATCTTTAAACAAGAATTTCCAGTCTCGTAGTTGCTTCTTCGTGCTGTTTGGGGCTTTGCTTCTGGGTTGGGTTTGGTTTGGGTGGGTTTTTTTTTTTGCTATCTGGGTTCTAATATATGTTGCAACCATTTTGTTGCTGTTTTGGAAGCGAAATAACATATTAACTAATTCCATAATCCACCATTTTGTCATCCTACTTAAAACATCAGTTGACTAGAGAGGGATGATTGTTCCCTGAGGGATCTTGCCGGTGTGTTTTCATACTGTACTTATGCAGATATTTTATGAGTGTCATCACCCCTACGAGTTTTAGAATAGCCTTTGGGGAAATAAAGTTATGTCTGTCATTTGGGGTACTTCCACCAGCAAGATTTTTCCCCTCTGATATAACTCTGAGTTTTCTCAATCATCTTTTACAATTTAGTAAGAATTGCCTGTGTTTGCCAGCAGCTTCCCTAATCAATTAATACAGCTGGAGAAAATAAATATTCTTAGTCGGTCACTTCACTTTTTTCAGGTTTTCTAGATACCATTAATTTGTCCTAGCCATTCATTTTTCCAACATCAGATTTTCTATAACATTGTAACTGGTTTAGTTTGTGAGCTCTTTCATTATAGCTGTCTTTAAGGCATTTGTTATGATCGACAGTGCTGCAAGCAAATTATTCTTAGGCTATTGTTCTTAGGATCCCTTTACAGCACGGTTTATTAACCCAGCAGTGCCTCTAATATACTGGAGTGTGTTCATGTGAGCACTGAACCACTTGTGCTGTTGTTGCACTGTTCAGCATTCCTGATCACCAAGAGTGTTTCTGTAGCACTCTGCCAAAAAAAGAAGCAATGAACAATACAGGTTCTTTCCTTTTCTATCTTCCTCTTTCTCCCTGACATGTTGTCTTAACATCTCATTGTCATTCTGCAACTATGCATGCATGTAACATATAAAAAAATGTCAAAAGGGCCAATTCTTTCTGTAACTAGGGCTGAGTGGAATTTCTAAATATTTTCTCTTTTGTAATTTACCACAGGTTTGGAGGACATGTCCTTCTGAAGACTGAAAGCTGAATGAAGTATAGGAAGTCAAGTATTACTTTTCAGGGTGGAAACCGAGTCCATAGTGCTGGTGAGGAACAGATTTTGTCTGTGATCTGGGGAAACAAGCACACAGTGAAGTTCGAGTTGTCCTTTAACAGTTTGAATTTTAACATTTCTAATTTTTTTTTAATTAATTTGGAAGTAGTAAATTCTCTGGCCTCTGTTGCTCTTCCAGGAATATCAGTCAAGACCAATCTAAATTTCCTTGGCTCCCATAGTTCTCCAGCTCATTGCTTTGGGAGGCAGTGCTGGCATTGAATCTCTGTCCTTCAGAAAGATCCACGGAAAAATTCATCACTGTATCATTAACCAACAACTGAAGAATGAAAGTGATAACTTGACAACACTCCCAAGTGGCTGGAAGTGGATGGAAATCATCAGAACAAGTTTGGCTGCATTTCTCAGATGAGATGTGGGCATTACTGTGCAGAGGAGGAAGTTTTGTCTCTGACCATATTGTAGGGAAGCTGTCAGCTATCATGTTGTGCAGTTCGACAATTGCCCATCAGCACCAACTTCTCTTTGCCCTTTGATTGTCACTTAATGAGCAAAGTCTGTCAAACTGAACACAAAAAACAGTGTTTCCTGTAGTGGAAAACATTTATAGTTTAGTTCTCTTTTGTATTGGATTAGTTAGCATCATTCAGATCGGTTACTTAGAGGAAAGGAGGATTATTCCAGCTACATCAATTACATATAAAGTAGGGTAGAATTATTTTTCAGTGTCGGGCAATTTCAACCATTTAAAGATAACTGATCCTGTACATCATAAATAAATCAAATGGAGCTATGTAATTATCATTTTAAAAAATCTGCAGAGGTTGCTCTATTTTGCAAACTGTCAGACACAGTGCTACAAAAGTGTGGCAAGCTGCAGCTAAATATCACCACAAAAATGAGCTTGCTGTCTTCCATCACATTGTGAGAACAATTTGCCTGCAGGAGTTATTTTGAAATATTAACTTGACTACCAAAACAGGCAGCTAACAACAGAGTATACAAACTAATCCTGAAGAGGAGATAAAATTTCTTCCCCATTAATTGCATATTTGAGACTAAGCAGATGTCTAAGGTAAAACATAGCAATTGCCTGATTTTTATTTTTCTTTTTCTCTCTCTCTTTCCCCCTTTCCACACCCAGTGAATACTGCAAGGTGTCATTCATTTCTCTAGGAAAGTAGCCATTCACATCACATAATAAAGTGTCTCACAGTGTGCACTGGCAGATTAAAGAGTAAGTGGGCAGTTAATAGTTTCAGTGCTTTCAAATCTGAGCAAAATAGTAGTTAGATGGACCTAGAAGAAAGTCCACAGTCTTTGCACACAATGAATATCATTGCTTCATGAATAACTTTTCTAATCTTGTGAGAATTATTTGTGGTTTTTTTCGAAGAGTTCTACTCTTGTCAGGCCTTATCCTACTGTCCTAGTTAGAGCAGCCAGGACCAGTTCATCACTGTGTGGGTGTAACCCAAACTGTGTATTCTACACCCTCTATGTCATTTGCCAGAAACTGTTAACAATAGACCATTTGCAGCAGCTGCCCAGAGCACACCTGACTCCCCAGGATATAAGCTGGGTGTTAAGAGGCCTGTGAGATACGAGGATGTTGCTGTCCTCACACTCACAACTCACAGCCATTGTGGAACTGCCTGCCCTGGGGGAGGTGCTGGGCATTC